CTTGCAACTGAAACCCTCATGAGTTTTTTTCCTTAGCCGCATATACATAGTATTAAAAAAACGCTTCCCAACGTTCGCCGTCGTATCGGTGATAGCCGGCCCTTGGTGGCCTGTCCACCAGGAAGATCCATTATTAATTTAGGCATTACGTACCGGAAAACAGGCAGTACAACAAGAGAGGACAATTTGTAGATATTTGCAGATCGATGAAGAAAACAAAACTACACTGTTAAAGAATTACTGCTCGCGGTGAAATAAAATGGGGAAACAGGCCATCGCTTGTTTTGTTTAGCGCTCTCTATCGCACTTACGGGCCTTACGGCAGTCTTTAGGCCTCCCAGCACGTGATGCAACATAGATTCACTAATTTTAAGCTTACTTAGAGCTATTAATAGGATTATAAGTATTTTAAAAGATTGGCTAGTATTTTTATTTAAAAATATAAAAACAAAAGAAAGACATATTTTTTTCCAGTTAATCCATATCTCAAGCGCCAATGAACGTCGCTCTTGTGAATGTCCTACAGAAAAGTGAAACCAGTACAGATAATAGCCGACAAGAAGTTTTGAGGCAATAATGTGCCCAAATAATTGTTTTTTTCAGCAAATCAGGAAACAATAAAAAGCAATTCGAAAACAGAAGGAACTAGAATAAAAAATAAAAATATAAATTTCTTTGCAACTTTCCAAACTGTTTTTTATGTTAGCGGAAATTGGAAATTTTTTTTTTTTTTTTTTGGATCCAAGTCGAGACTAGAATTGAAATGAAAAGAGGATGCAAGTTAGTATTGCCCGGCGGCCTACCACTAAATGGAGTCATCTAGTAAGACATGCAGGAAGTCTATGGATGCAGGTAGCACCACAGAACACTATTACTCCTATCGGGGAAGAACGACAACTTCATACAAAATATAAGAAGTGTGATATATACCCAGTAGCTCTATCAGTCGTCAGCCTACCTGCACTTGTCTCGTGTGGCGGGAAAATTTGAACGTGGTCTTTTTTTGTTTTTTTTTATTTTTTTATTTGAGATATTTTTGGGTTTCCTATCCCAGCGCTAAATAAAAGAACAAAAATTACAAAATTTCTATTTATTTATTCAAAATAAAAATGCAAATTAAAATAACGTACACAACTTAAGACAAAATTTCTCCAGCAACTTAGTTCTTTCTATGAAATCATTTGATGAGTTTAAAAATAAAAAGAAAATCAATATTAATTACAATATTTTAATTACTTATGTAAAACAATGCTAAACATAATATATAAGATTTACAATCACGAATGAATTGATAATATGCACAATCACAAATCACAGAATGTCTGCAATAAACAAAATACGAGTATCAATATTTTAATCAAAAACAAGTTAATTAATAAATAAGCTCCTAGTGCTAGATATTGCACTTTGCGCTTGTTACACACAATGCAATATCTACAAATAATAATTTTGTTTTGATAATATTTGGTTGTCTGTTTCCCTGAATTAACACCAAAAATTTTGTCTCTATATTATATGCAATATATTAAGTATTAAATGCAGAATAATTTTAATTCAAAATTATAAAACATATTAAATATTAGATTGCAAATATTTTCCTTATGTAATTTTAAAAAAATTCATATAGAGTAATTTCTTTTTCAGGTTCAACATTATCTGTTATGCTTTTGATATGTTTGTGGTTGTTCTTCAGTGGATATAATGTTATCCTCCTAATGTTATCCTTTTTGAAGATCCTGCTTGTGGTTTTACAGCAATAATTTGCGAGGAAATAGCTTGTGATTCCACAAAATAAAATGGGACTACACTTTGTCAGTCTGGAAATAAATAAAAACTGAAATAAATTATAGTATAATACACATATTATATAAAATTAAATTAACATTATATTCTTTGACATTACTTTCATAGTAAACCAGTCCCTTTTTTATAGAAGAGGGGGCAAACGAGCATGCGGCTCACCTGATGTTAAGTGACTACCGCCGCCCATGATCAACCGCAACACCAGGGGAATTGCAGGTGCGTTGCCGGCCCTTTAGAAAGGAGTAATCTCTTTTGGGTTAAGGGTAATGTAGTGCCCTACTTATGGCACTACATTACCCTTCTACCAAAACAAAATAAATTAATGGATCTTGTTCATCCAATTTGTTCTATAATGCACCTACTATTACATCTACTATAACAAAATAAGATAGTAAATACAATAACCATGTGAAGAAAAGAGAAGTCTTGTGTTTATCTATTGTTTGAGAACCAATTTTGACGCATGTATTTCTACTGTGTTGTACAAGTTGTGCCTTTAAATTTGATAGTTTTAGGACAAAATGTCATTATTCATAGAATGTGATGCCTGAAATTTCTTAATATTTTTTGTTGTTTTTAAAATAAATATTTGATTGATAAAATGTGCACAGTGTTGCACTTTTAATATACATTACTATTGTATTATTACTTACATAGTAAGGGCCTGTGCTAATTTTATAGACTTCAATCCTTTGGATGTCTTGTCCTATACAATTATTATAAATTGATTGAAGGCATTAACAAGATTCAAATTTATGTATGTTTTCTGTCCATCCATGTTAGATCCAGATGATGATCATATGAATTATCATCACCATCATGAAAATGTTCTTTACACAGCATTCTGGGCTTATTATGTAGCTTTATCTAGAAAGCTAAAGTAGTATACTGCTCTTGAGAGGGAATATAATATTTCGTCCACAATTTACAGCTGGAAACAAAAAATATAATTATTTAATACAAATATTATCAAAGTAGGTCAAAAGTAGGTAGTGGTTTACAAACCAATAATTTGTTTTTAAAATGGTTAAAGAGAAACAATTTTTCATTATAAGTTGGACAAAATAGATTTACTTTAAGGTTAGAACTTATTAGTCTCCATTTATATTGTGTACGTACCGCAAAATATACTTTACAGCGGGTTTTGGAAACCTAAATAATTTAATGTTGTCAACGGTTGTTGATCTGTTGCACTTAGAACACTTTTTCTATTTTCTTTATCCGCCGTTTCAGTAGCATAGTTTTTAGAGTCACTATTTCGTAATTCGTATATCAACACATTGCACATCATATAAACGAAGGAAATTAATCTCAACTCGACGTCGTTAACTTGCAAAATCTTAGAAAAAGATACAAGCTAAACAAACACAACAACCGATCATGAACAACAATAATGTATACGTCGGTGCCATATTGAGAATTAAATACTTATATAGATGTTTTGGTGCAACCAGAAAAAACATGTAATTTTCTACTCATTGAAAATCAAAACAAAGAATAAACATATATTTTTCTTTTACTGTCAATGATATTACGTTAATATAATAACGTAAAAAAATACGACAGGGATAGTTATCTTCCTATGCATTATTATTTCTATATTCAACATTTAGAGTGTAATTTATCTTAGCAAATCTTACTAATTTGAAGACATTTATCTGACAAATGGCAATAATAAAATTCAGCCCCCGTAGGTATTTCATTCTGTCCATACAGAGTTGACCGGGCCTGGGTAGCTTAGTACCGTGCTTTGTGACATTCTTTGAGGGAGGCATATATTCAGCAGTGGACTTTTTAAGGACTGTAATAATAATTATGATGATGAAGAATAATAATATTTTAGTTTTATTTTATTTTTAGTAGCAATTAAGTAACGTATAAATCATGAAATCCTCGCCTAAAACATTTAAAAAAAAATAACACGCATCCACTATACTTATACATTCTTAGTACTCACGGGGACAACGGGGACTTTGTCCTACTTCTGTCAAATTTAAATTTAAAATGTTTAAACTAATTGGTCTGCACGTAATTGTAACAAAATTAATGCGTGCCGCAAGTTGTTTTCAAACGTGACTGGATATTGTTTCTATTAAGTATTGAGATCTTACGAGTATATTTAATTAAATATATAAATATAAATAAGTAAATTTTGGTACGATAAATTTAGCTTAATAATATTATTACATTTGGTAATTTGAGTAGCGCTTGTCGTGAATTTTAAGCAGTAAAACGTGATCTGAGCATTTTTCTATGGAGAAAAGCCTCTAGGAAAAGCCTTTGCATACCATCCTTGCGGGAGAAAGTACGAGTTTTTTATTAGCTACATATACACAGGGTTTTAGAAACATTTTTCCAACCTTTGTGTTGGTGGTGCTTGCAGGCCCTTGGTAGCCTGTCCTCCGGATGGGCTTATTCTTAATTTAGGTATTACGCGCCGGAAAGCAGGCAGTAGAACAGAAAAGGCCTATTTGTGGATTTTCGCAGATCGATGGAGAAAAAAAACTATACGGATGAAGAAGTGCTGCCCGCGGTGCAATAATATGGGGAAGCAAGACGCCGCCTGATGTGCTTAGCGCTCTCTGACTCACTTACGGGACGTACAGCAGTCTCTCCGACACCTATATCACACCTGCACGTGTTGATACATATACTCGCTGATTTTAAGCTTACTTGGAGTAGTATATTTATAAAAAAAATATTGAACGACCTTGTAGTATTGCAGATAAAACGAAATAAGTACATATTTTTTTCCAATTAATGTATATTTCTAGCTTTTCTGGATCTACGCTATTATGATTATCTTATAGAAAAGTGAAACCTGTACAGATAATACCTGAAAATAAACTTTTAGGCAATATAGTACTCAAGTAATTTTTTACAAATAAATAAACAAGAAAAAATATTTCGGAAACACACATAGAATTGCAATGAAAATAGGATGCGAGTAACTATTCTTTAAAAAATTGAAAGTGGCAAATTATTTGTTTGCGACGTTATTTGCAAATGAAGTAAATTTTAATAAACTTATCTATATTTCGTTATAAAAATATCATTTATTTACCTTGCTTTTAAATACATACAATATTTAAAAATAAATATTAAAATGTAACATCCTTGAAATTTCAGTGTTTTTAACCACATATTAATGTGCTCATCATTCGTTGGGTTTGTAATTTGTAATTTGTAGTTCGATTTCAGCGCCAGATGCTTAGCACAGCTTTGAATTTACATAGCTGCAAAACAAATTTAGGTTATCTTTATAGCAGTATTATATTTTCAATTCAAAATTAGTACTGCATTTGTGATAATAATAAAATGTAGGTATGTATATAGAGTACTCACTCATTTTCTTTCACTATTTTTTCGTGACTTTCTTCATTAATAATAAATGCACTTTATTCATTCATATTCAAAATTTCAGAACACTTTATACACAAACACCGTGTCGAAGACTGAGGAAAAGAAACGACGTTAGACCATCGTTAGAAAATGCACGGCCTTCAAGCCACACCTCCGTGCCCGTCGGAGAGCGTGAGGTTTTTTTCTCATTTTTAAATACATACAATATTTAAAAATAAATATTAAAATGTAACATCCTTGAAATTTCGGTGTTTTAACCAAAGATTAATGTGCTCATCATTCGTTGGGTTTGTAATTTGTAATTTGTAGTTCGATTTCAGCGCCAGATGCTTAGCACAGCTTTGCATTTACAAAGCTGCAAAACAAATTTAGGTTATCTTTATCCTGCTAAGACCCAGACTTAAAATAACAAGGAAGTCGTAAAAACCCACTGTACAAAATTATGCACAAATTAACTTTTTGCTGTCAGACCCAGAGTCATAAAACATCATAAATTTGAAGCTATGCCTATTAGGATTTCGAGAGCATATTTACCGTAATACTAGGTGTCTAAGGGACATTTTTGGCTAACTTACGTTGTTCTATCTTTTGTACAAAATATTGAACATTGGATCACGCAACGTTGCAGAGAAAATAAAAAATGATAATTATAAATTTTAGGATTTATTAATGAATTTACAAAAAAAAAAAATATAAAAAGTAGGACGAAATCCTTCCGTCTAAAATTGTTAAACTTAGTTACATTCTCTTAAGGCATTTTAACTAGTTTTCATAATATCACAATTACAATATTTAATCATCTTTGGAAAAATTCTGACTCTTTAAGCAATAATAACAAAAATATTTCACTTATAACTAAAAAATGTTATCTTAACATTAGTGCAATATTTTAGGAACTTTAATTATACTTAACAAAAATTAGTTATACTACTCATGAAATGCTTTGTAACAATTACGAGTCGAAGTAAGGCAAAGAGCTACCAGGCAGGTACTGCATTTGGCGGTAGATCTTTTCTTGCATCCAGGCAAACGGCATCTGTTTGCTATGCCTTCAAAGACAGGCATGTGTAATGCTCCTTCCTGTCTACGAATCTTTGACGGAATAGGAACTATTGCTGGAATTCCCCTTTTTCGTACTTCTGGCTCTGAATTGTCCTCCTCTTCTAATACATCTTCACAATAAGTGTTTTTTTTCAATAATGTTTACCGCTAACTGCATCTTCCATTGCCTCAAAGATTGTATTTCTTTCAGTGGAATTTGTTGTTTTAATTTGTCGTTTCGGAATTGAATCCAAGCGTTTGATGCCGATAAATCCAACATGTGGGAAATGAAGCGCATGGTCCATTTTTTGGTTCTGGATCGGGATGGACATACTGCCAACATACGGTCTGCTAAATCGACACCTCCCATATTACTGTTATACATTCTGACTACCAGTGGCCTTTCTACGTTTATATATTCTTTTTGACTTTTACACCATCGACGACACATATCTTTTGGATCGCTGCCATATATTGTCGACATCAGAGTAACCGGCTTGTTGTCGCACCATTTGGTCACAGCCACTGTGTCATCACTGTTTACAAAAACAGACGTAGATCCTCTTCCACTACGTTTCATTTCCTTGTCATCTGGCAAAACCTCGTTCAGAGCAGCAGGAATCCGGTTTTTCATTATAGTACCTGAGCATCTAAAGCCTTTTGTGAATAGTTCTTGAACTAATTTAAGAGAAGTAAAGTAACGGTCGAAATATAGCATATGCCCAGGAACTAACGTGCGCGTCATATCTAATACCGCACTTTCACCAAGACCAAACCCAGCTGCAGACTCTCTTGGAAAAGTTGTCGAACCTTGATAGATAGTAAAGTCACATACCATGCCATTTGGGTTAGCGAGCACGCAGGCTTTTAGCCCCACCGGATTTGGCTTATTTGGGCAATACTGTCTAATACCGCAGCTGCCTGAAAACGGAATTATCATTTCATCTATGGAAATGTGTTGGTGTCGTATTTGCTTGTAGCATCCTTGCAGTACTCTCTCGATCAAAGGTCTAACCTTCCACAGTTTATCTTGGTTTCTTTGCTCTTGACTTACATCGGGATCAAATACAATTTTCAACGTGGTTCTCAAAAGAAAGTGTCTATTACGTGGCATACAGTCTGCTACTAAAGAAACTCGCCATTTATTTTCCCAGTACATTCTAATGTAAGGGTAATTTATGCACGACATCATCATAGTGATTCCAATAAATGTTTTACATTCCTTTTCATTAAAATATAGGGCTTTTCCAGTTCGGAATAAATAGTTTTGGTTAGTTTTACTCGTGATCAAAGCAATGAGGTCGTCATCAATGTACTGACTGAAATATTGTGAATAATCATAATCGGTAGTATCTATCGGCAGGTATGATGGGGCAGAAAGTTGCGGAGGCGTAGGGGCAAACTCTTTAGTCTTACATTCACGATCAAGGGATTCATTAGGTGCAACGGAATTATTTTCCTGTCTTACCCGACCGCGTCCTAGGCTTCTACATCCGCAACCTCTTCTTCCGCGAGAGCTAATATTTCTTCCCCGACTACAACTAAGTGACCCACGTGGACGACGTGTTCTGTTACGACTTGGAGCAGGAGAATCATATGGTATTACCTCGTTGTCATCTTCATCAACCGAGACTTCATCTTCACAGGAAGAACTTGAAGAACTGGATGATTCCTCTCGTTCATTATTAGGGCTGTACTTATCATCCGTCCCATTATCTTCAAAAGGATCCTCTTCCGAGTTTGACTCATATTCTGAGTCATTGAGACTCTGAAGAATGTCATTTTCAGTAAGATCTAAAAGTAGAAACAAAAATATTCAATTATAAACAGAGACCGAACGTTTGATACTGCAAACCAATGTACAAAAAATTGCACAAAATAATTGATGACTTTGTAAATCAGTTACATCTAACACTGTCACGAAAATTATTAATAATGTGTACTATTTATACCTTTAAGTTTATAATAACATCAACAGTTACGTGGGAAAAGTATTGATTAAATTAGTATTTTCAGATTAAACTTACTTTTAGCACGAGGCAGCGGCATGTTTCCACGTTCGTCGCAGCTGGCTTTGACATGACACCTTTTTTTTTGGTTGGCGGCATTGATAACATAGACAATATAGACTAATCAAGTAATTTTGACATGTGAAACTAGTCGCGGGAAGATTTCAAAAAAAAATTAGAAGAGCTTAAAGAATATGTACAAGAAATTGTACAGTGGGCGGTCAGTACTGTAAATTTTATTACAAAGCTGGGTCTGATAAAGGTATTTTATTTTGTCTTTTATTTTGTACGCGGGGTCTTAGGAGGTTAAAGCAGTATTATATTTTCAATTCAAAATTAGTAATGCATTTGTGATAATAATAAAATGTAGGTATGTATATAGAGTACTCACTCATTTTCTTTCACTATTTTTTCGTGACTTTCTTCATTAATAATAAATGCACTTTGTTCATTCATATTCAAAATTTCGAAACACTTTATACACAAACACCGTGTCGAAGACTAAGGAAAAGAAACGACGTTAGACCATCGTTAGACAATGCACGGCCTTCAAGCCACACCTCCGTGCCCGTCGGAGAGCGTGAGATTTTTTTCGTTACGAAATTTCTGGATTTTCCCGCACTCAAGGCCCGCTTTATACACAAACACCGTGTCGAAGACTGAGGAAAAGAAACGACGTTAGACCATCGTTAGACAATGCACGGCCTTCAAGCCACACCTCCGTGCCCGTCGGAGAGCGTGAGGTTTTTTTTCGTTACGAAATTTCTGGATTTTCCCGCACTCAAGGCCCGCGATAGAAGCTATGCAATAGCTTACAAAAATATTCTGAATTTTATTTTAATAGTGGAACAATAAGCGTCATATGCAGTTATTGTCAGTCCTGAGACCGCAAACATTACGTAAAAGATTTCATTAAAATGAATGCGAAATTTCTGTGAAACGTGTGAAATAAAAATATTACTCCATTTTACACAATATTTAAACATACGGATGATCTATAAATATAAAATAAATTGAAGTGTCTATATGTAACTTGTAATAACTGTCTTATATTAGCTCAGGGGTTATTTGCGTGCAATGAAGGTATGTAACAATTATAATAACATATAATATAATAATATATAACAATAATAATATATAACAATTTTTAAGTTTTTTGTCTGTCCCCCTGCCTGAAAGGTTAATTTAAATTTTACTTTCTTTTCATTTTAGTGATACTTATCAAACAAATAGAAACCATTTCCAGGAGTGATCTAGGCTATTTTATCCAAAAAACTTAGATATTTAAAAACAAAATTATGAAATAAATAGTTTTAATTATCTTAAATCTAAACATCCTATACTATCTAGGCAAAGGGCAGAGGGCTAGCAATACAATAAATATGTGTTAAAATAGACCAAAACAGTTTTTTTATTGAACAAGAGTGACGAATGAGCAAAATTCGAATGATGGTAAGTATATCTACATTTATCCTCAATTAAGAATCAAAATGAACTCCTGAGGTCTGAAATGGAATGCCTCGTCTGTTAAAAGGGTCTCCGGTGCTATACACTAATCATATGAAACACAACATCATTAAGCTGCTATTTTACGCTGGCATTCTGTGAGTACGTGATCCTATCCCGTTTGAGCTGAAATATTTGTGCTACAACCATAAATAGCAGCAGCTCGGCTCTGCCATGTATAAAAGGTTTTTTTAATTTAAAATAGTTTAATTAAGCTCTAATAGGGAAGATTCTATGCGTGATAGAACTCGGAATGAAGATATCCGCAGCAGAACTATAGTAATCGACACCCAACGACACAAACATTATTTTTGTTCCATGAGACAAGACCAACGTTTCCTTTGACCAGTGTGATAATTATGCTACATAACAAAACAAAAGTATAAGTACTTTGTATCGATTATAATGTTACGCGCTAAAATCGGCGCACTAGCGCCATCTAGTCTCGAACCAAAGAACTAAACTTCTTGAAGTTTAAAACTCGAACTCTCGGTACCTTGCGCGTGTTTACTTGAACACTCTGGATATTTTGCTAATTTATATAAGTAGGCGCTGCAAGATGCGATCGGGCAGAGTTGAACTCGGCGACACAAGCGAAGCTTCGGAGCGGAATTAAGTGAATTAGTGTGTTTAATTATTAGTGTTTTTAGTTTTAATTTGTGTAAAGTAAATTAAAGTGTTAATTTAGGTAATTTTATCGGCAATTTTTATTGTCACGAACCTCAAGCTCCTAACAATTGGTGTCAGAAGTGGGATAAAATCATGCCGATTTTACCTAAGGAGGAAACGGAGGGTGTCCGTACCCGAAGTCAACGCCAGCAGGAGACGGACCAACGAAGATTTGGTGGTGCAAAGCCGCAGACGTCGGAGGGCCAGCCACCGGCTGCAGGCCCGTCGGTAGCTCCTACATCTGCAGCACCTGACTTAGGTGCTCTGATGGTGATACTGCAGGAGCAGGCTCGCTGACAGGAGGAACAGGTCCGTCAGTTGAAAGAGCAGCTGCAGAGCGGACAAGAGGAACAGGCCCGTCAGCAGGCGGAACAGGCTCGTCGGTCGGAAGAGCAGATGCTCCTCATGAAGGACCTTCACGCTACCTTTGGGAAAGAGATAAGGGACGTGAAGGATAGGGTTGCTCAACACGACAACCGCCTGTCGGAAGCTGAAACCCGAATCGAAGAACATGAAACCCGAATCAACCATGTGAACAATCGGGTTGACAACGTGATGGCTGACGTGAAGAAAACGTTAACCACCTCAAACTTGCGGATGGAACTACAGCTCCCGTAGTAGCTGCAGCACCTTCGCTACGTGGATTCAAAGTGCCGCCGTTCGACGGGACCTCTTCCTGGTCGGCCTACAAAATCCAGTTCGAGGGCCGTCATGGAGGCGAACGGCTGGAATAAAAGCCAAGCCATGACTACACTCACCCTAGGTCTGCGCGACCAAGCCTTAATTGTGTTGGGAGCTCTCGGTAAGAAAGTGACCTATGAGCAGCTTCTTGAGGCCTTGGAAGCGAAATATGGCGACGCTCATCTGGAACACGTCTTTCGCGCGCAGCTTAAAGATCGCGTGCAGCGCAGCAACGAGAACCTGCAGCAGTGGGCCCTTGAGGTGGAGAAGATGGTTCGAAAAGCATACCAGTCTGTACCTGCGCTCATTGAAGGGAACCTGGTTCAGACATTCATCGACGGCATCCGCGACCTTGAAGTCGGAGCTGCTGTGAGACTCGGGCACCACGACACGCTTAAGAACGCCTTGGCCCATGCACTGGAGGTGGAAGCCGTGCGGCAGGATCATCATCGCATCAGGGAGGTTGCAGCAGCTACAGTTCGCGACCGCAACAAAGGATACAGCCCAAGGTGCTATGGCTGTGCGCAAAAGGGTCATCATCGATCCAGCTGCCCTAAGCGAACCGTGGAAAGGAGAGTCGATCGATCTCGAGAGGGTCGTGCAGCTAACGGCACCTCCTGGCGGTGGCAGGATCGTCGTTCCCCCTAGCGCTAGGGTGGTTGTCGCAGTTACGGTTCGCGACCACAATAAAGGATACAGCCCCAGGTGCTATGGTTGTAGGGAAAGGGGCCATATTCGGTCCAGCTGCCCCAAGCACACCCTAGGAAGGGAAGGTGAACGGTCTCAGAAAGGAAGTGCGGCTAACAGCACCGCCCAGCAGCAGCAGGAATACGACCTTACTATCGAACATCGCAGCGGGAAATCTCACGGCAACGCAGATGCATTGACAAGAAGACCTTGTCCTGAATATTGCAACCATTGTAGTAGGCAAGGAAGTGGTATCCGTGAGGATGCTCAGGACAGACCACCTCAGCAACGGGTGGAAGGACAGCCTACGACATGCACAGCAGGAAGATCCGGACATCAAGCCGATTCTGGGATGGATGAAGGCCCGTGCTACCAAGCCTAAGTGGAGGGACGTCTCAGCGATGAGTTCAACCACGAAAAGCTATTGGGCCCAATGGGACAGCTTGCTGATTCAGGATGGAGTCCTGTGCCGTAAATGGGACAATGGTCGACGGGACAGCTGTCGTTTGCAAATGGTTGTCCCTAAAGCTAAAGTGCCGAATGTTCTACAGCTGTGCCATAATGGTCGTTCAAGAGTCCATCTGGGAGTTAAACGAACTCTACTGAAGGTCCGAGAACAGTTTTACTGGGTCCATTATCGTGACGATGTCGAGGATTGGTGTCGTACATGTACAAGTTGTGCGGCCGTGCGGGGACCTCAGACACGTAGTAGAGGAGCACCGAAATTGTACAATGTTGGTGCAATACGGGATAGAACAGCCCTTGACATTGCGGAGCTGTTACAGAAAGGCGCAAGAGGGACTCCTAAGATCGTCCATGTGGATCGCCTTGCGCGTTATTATGGGACCGATAATGCTCGGGACGAGCATGTCTTAGGAGGGGGCAGTGTTACGCGCTAAAATCGGCGCACTAGTGCCATCTAGTCTCGAACCAAAGAATTAAACTTCTTGAAGTTTAAAACTCGAACTCTTGGTACCTTGCGCGTGTTTACTTGAACATTCTGGATATTTTGCTAATTTATATAAGTAGGCGCTGCAAGATGCGATCGGGCAGAGTTGAACTCGGCGACACAAGCGAAGCTTCGGAGCGGAATTAAGTGAATTAGTGTATTTAATTATTAGTGTTTTTAGTTTTAATTTGTGTAAAGTAAATTAAAGTGTTTATTTAGGTTATTTTATCGGTAATTTTTATTGTCACGAAGCTCAAGCTCGTAACAATAATAACGTATTCGGAGAGGAACTCTCAGGATTCAAGTCTGTGTTAGAGAATGTTTGTATTGAGTCTTCGTTATCATATCATAAACGCTTACGCCTGTCACCCTGAGAAGTAGACAGAAACTGCAGACTTCCATTAAGCATGATCCTGACATACCTCTCTCGCCTCCTCTATGTACATATACCAACGCATACATGCTCGTCGGTTAAGAGTAGTCTTAATTTAGTCCATTTTCAATATATCGTCAATTTAGTCAGTAAACTTTCGCCTAAGACGTCCCATTCCGACTATTTAGTTCACTTCTGCAACATAAATTTGCTTTGTCACTCTTTGCTCATTCATTTTTTCTA